GCGAGTAGCCGGGATTCGTCGAGAGAATCGAGGAAATTTTTCGTCGCTCGGTAAGCGCGCCACGTACGTGACGCAAATTGAAATTCTTGTTTCGCTTACGGGTATTTGTCGTCTCTGCCGATTTGCGGAGTATGCTTCCAATATCCACCCTCTATTCTCTCGACCTACGATTCCTAATTCCGTTTCAATTTTCAGTGTATTTTCGACTCTGTGTAATTTGACGACGAAAATATCAGATTTTGAAATTTCATTTGAAAATCAAGCATAGAAGGCTAATTACCTCGTACGGACGATCGATCGCGGAGTTAATAATCAAAGCAATTTAATAATCACCGGTGTAGCTCCTTGGAACGAAGTCGATTCCCTGGAGACACGATCGATCGACATCCGGCGAGACGTCGTTCGTTTAGCCTTGCAAAATGCATTTGTACACGCATCCCTGTGTAATTGTTCGTACAGAGTTTCTAACGTAAAAACGAGTTTTCGTTGATAGGTAAAAGTTAGCACTTTTCAAGCGTCCAATAGGACCAATTTAATTTCGAGAATGTACGAAACGCAATCTCGACGATAGAACGACAGCAATGGGGTACCATGGATTCGTGGCGTGTATGAAATTTTTCTCCGGTTTCGTAATATCCCGAGATGACTTGACTCGTTAGCGAATGAACGCAGGTTTTGCCAGAGGTTCCCGGTATCGAGAACACTGTTCGTTAATTAAAATGTTTTTACTGTTTTGATATAATTGATAACTGTTATAATGAAAATTGTTGGCAATTCAGTAAAAAGTTTCTGATGTGAGTATTTTTAGGTAATTAGTGCTATAATAATTAAAACATTCAGACTGTCGAGTGAATATAATGTTACTGTAATGGTTGTCAAAAATTTCTCTTAATTTCATTTTATGTTCCCGTTATTAAATCATCTATGGAGAATATTATTTTGACTATTATTTTTCATGAAATTAACAATAATTCAAGTTGATCGAGCGACCGAGTATATTCTGACACTAGTGTCATCAATCTCTATACTAACAACAGGCTTGTAGAAAATTGTTAAAAAAGTTAGTTACAATTTTTCGAGTTACGTTTCGTTCACGAGCAATTTCTCATCGACGTGCGAAGTTATCGAACTCGCTGAAAAATATTATTTCTCCTTTTTCTCCCTCACGCACATACCCTTTATTCTATTTTCATTAACCTATCTTTTTTTTTTTGCTTGATATTTATTCGCGTTTTCGGCATCCTTCTGTCAATTTTTATTTACTCCACGCATTTTCGTCCCGAAACAATTTGTCCCACGTCACGGTGAAATATGTTGCATTATTTATTTATCCAAGCACAGTACTTCAATCTCCCGGCAATATTTTTCAGCGATTTTTAAGTGCCACGCGATTACCATTCGATTGAAGATCCGTTGACAGCTGGGATAAATTTTTTTAATTGCGACATTCAAGGCGAGATTATTGCTAACGATGTTGGCAAATTTGTTTTCTACGGTTGATAAAATATTCTGAGGAGAAATACAAATTTTGTAAATTGAAGATACTTTCAGAATATGTCAAAATTTTTAAATATTAGGCGTACAAATTAATTCAATGGCTTTAATATTACGTCTTCTTAATTACTATTTTAAATTTGAATATTTTCTCGCGCTTCTGTGTATTTGAAAAATGACGCGATAATTTCAATAATAATTGGAATTACTATGACTTTTTAAAAATAAATCTTCGATAAAAAAATTTGTACACATAGTAAATAAATTTCAAAGTACACATACCCCTTAAGCAAAATCTACTCTAAAATTGATTTATAAAAAATTCTGAAGAAATATTAATGATTTGGTTTTTGAAATAACAAGTCGAATCCTATGTACGATCCTGAAGGTTGGTGGTGGTGTTTTTAAACATAAGTTTATTACAAGAGTGCTCGCGTTTCTCGACGAAACGAGATGAGATCTCGCAGGGTAGGGAAACGTTGACGAAGATAGAACGAGGCGTTCCAGCACTCAAGGATTATCTTAATACTCCCTCTGCTCCTTTCCTTCTATCTCAAACATTTTTCCTTCACTCGTTCTCTTACCATCCCAAAGGGAGTTGCCTTTCGTATCCTCTGACAGACGATTACCCTTGCTCAAGAAGACAGGTAAAGCTGCACTCGATAGATTTAACATTGCTTTATCAAGAGCATCTAAGTTCGAGAAAGATTCTGATTCGTGCTGGTAATCGACGGGATCCACGGAATGGTGGAGCTTTTCAAATTGAAGAGGAGAGAAAGAATTTTCGAGGCGAATGAGACAAAGAAAATACTCGAATGAAATTCTTCCATTACCATTGGATTTCATTTTGTTTTTTCTCTCTTCTTTTTGTTTTTAATACTTTCGTTTCTAAATTAATTAAAGAACTGTAATAAAAATTAGATTTTGATTCCACTGGAGGGAACAGATTTTATGTAATTATATTGCATATGGACGATGGAAAATTTGATGTATTTTTAAAAATATTCTTAGATCTACTTTTGAGAATTAAAAATTCTCTGTATTAAGTTTCATAACGTTCTTATGGCTGATACGGCCCTTTTCTAGACCGTTGAATATTGGATCCCATGAACTGGATGTTATCGATAATAGTATCTAGATCCCTAGGGTGGTCGAGTTCCATCGTTGTTGAGGTCTGTTCCCATGACACAAGGATAGTCGGTATTACTAGCATCTCAGGGGTCATTCATATCGAGTCTTACGACTCGAGAGTCGATAGAGGGCTTCATGTTCCAGTACTATCGATTTGTCTGACTTTATACAGTTTTCCAGATCGATTTTCACGAGTTTCTTAATTATCCAAACTTCAGTTGTTCCTCGTTAAAGTATCTTAAATACATTGGGATAGAACGTGTTAATTATTTATAATAAGTATTAACAAGTCTTTTTTGAGGCTACATAATTTCTATTATCTTCATAGAGCGTTAGAAAAATTTCACTCCATTTCTTACAGCCTTTTTAAATATTAGTGAAAATAAGAAAATTTTCAATACACTTTAAGAAGTGCAATTCATTTATCACTTAAGTATTTGAAGTTCTCTATAAATTAGGAATGAAAAAAAAAATCAAAATCACTTTTAGGTTTTCGAATGTTCCCTCTCTCTTTCTTTTCTTGTGACTTTGTATCAAGAATATTCAAGGGTGATTTTCTCAAAAGCGAAGGCCTTTATTAAAAAATTGTACTTTATATTTTTTCATATAAAATCCCAATATTTCCCTCCAGCTGCTCTATTAATATTAATATCAACTTTCCACTCTCAAAAATTCACGTTTCCTTCGGAAAGCAGCATCTGCAATCCAAGTAATCGAGCAACTCTCTGGAAGAGAACGAAGGCTTCGACTTGCAAGTAGAAGTACCCCGATAATTTTATTCAACACAGACACGCAAGGTTCTACAACAATATCCAGAGAGCCAACAAGCGAAATTCGATACCACAGAATAATTGCAGCAATCCATTTCCTCGAACGGAAGTTTTCCTTATTTCCCTCGACTTCCACTTTTCTTTCCATCCTCCTATTCTCATTTTATGCGCGTTGTACATGTTTAGACGTTATTCTTTCTCTTCTCTCTTTCTCGCTATTTATTTCTTTAAACGCAACGATCCGGACGTTTTCTCGGTAGTGTAGTAATAAACGATTACAAGGATAGGGAAACGGGTTCAAGTTGCTTCCACCGAACGACATTTAACGTTATTTCGTATCGATGTCGGTGTCACGATCAGGAAAGCAATCAGCTTATATATTTTACGACCGGCCTGTAAGTCGTATCAATTCAATTTCATGGTGAGTCCGAAATTGCGATGGACCAGAAGCAATTCGATGTTCCTTCCCTTGATCCTCTATCTCTCTTTTTCCACTTTCCAATCTTTCTTTCGTGACTCTCGGGGCGCCAATGAATTTTGAAATTCATGCAACCAGCTCTTAATTTTTTTAAATAATATTGAGATGAACAGTCTTCTCCAAATCTTTCATATCATCACTTTTTAAATTATTATCTCCGACAAAATTCTCATAAATAATTTAACCAAAACTTGTACCAAAGTTCAAAGTACAAGAGATAGACTTTTTTCTTGTTCTTTACCTCTTCTTGTAAAAAATTCCTATCCCTTTCCCCTTTATCCTCTGAAGAGCAGCCATACTTCTTGAGCTATCATGCGGACAAAGGTGGACTCGATCAATTTAACATCGTTTCAGCGACGATACACGTCCGCGAGGGTTGGAAGGGTCTTTTTGGTCCCGCAGACACAGAGCAGATGGGCGTGAAGCGCTCTTCCAAGACTGTGTTTGATCCGCCACAGTGGATAATTCGCCATCGACGTGTTCCGGCTGTCGCGAGCCATGCTTTGTCGCTTTCTGCTCTTTTATTTTCACGGGATTTATCGAACGGTATCGTTGAAACGTAATAAAGAGAAAATAGAATGATAGACGATATATACCAGCAGCAAATGGCATGTGTTATAATTTCAGATTTTTAGTGGTTTAAAATTTCAATTATTTTAGGGTGGATGAAATTTTTAATTTGGAGGGAGGGACAAAGTTAAAATATCTAATGGGAATTACACTAGCGATCAAGTCAGATTTTTCAGAAAAAATGGGGTTGCCCCCACCCCTTAGGCTTTCCCAGCCCCTCCCCCTCTGTAAATATTTTCGAATTTTGGGGTTTTTCACCCTTGTCGTAAACCTCCCCTTCCTCGGGTTTCGGGGTTCCTGACCCTTGCTGTAGGCTTCCCCTTACCTAGCCTTCGACCCTTCTCCTTAGGCGTTCCCGATGTGGGGGTGGGGGTGAAGGCCCAATATATATAGATCTATGGCGGACCACTAATCGCGTATAAATGTTCATACGGGAGAATTTGAATTGATATTTATTTATTATCCATATTTCTCAGTTGTACACTAAATTTTATAGCATTTAATAATGAAAAATTTTATTAATTTTTTTCTAAGTCATTTTTATATGTTTTTCTTAGGGAAGGTTGGTTTGGTCGCGAACACACATTAGCTCGAATCGTTTTAACTCTTCTACGACAATTTCAACCATAATGAAGAACGATCGCGGTGATGAATCAACTGCAATTACCGGCTTATACGCGACACGCGGAAATGGATGGGGTCTGTTTACACGTCGGGACAACTGAAGGCGTAACAATCCATTGGTAAGTTATTTTACAGCTACATTTAAGCGTTACACTGTTATTCTAGCGACGTGTAAGGGAAAATTAATCACGTATAAAACGATATAAAACGGTATCGTACAACAAGACATTTAAATTGTAGAAAATTTTTATCTCGAGAATGCTTCTATAATTTATTTTTTATCAAATTATCCATTGATATTATTTCTGAAACTTATTGACAGCAAAACGTAGGAAACTTTACAAAACTGTGCATAGAGGAAAATGAGATTTTCTTTGAATTTATATAACCTAATCAATATTAATATACTCGATGGAATAAACAAAACGACGAGCTGTAAAATATTTCGTTACATAATAATCAGTTGTTAAACTTGTATAAACAGATATCAGGTCGAATGATAAATATTTGATATCTTTATTCTGCATCGAATTAATTAATTAATCCTATTAGTAAAATGATGAGTATATTCGGTGCAACAAATGTCGCGGAAATGTTCATTATTCTTCATCGATTGATATGCAAATATCTTCTACAAATGTTGAATTTTTACCGGATAATCAGGAACGATAACGCGTGTCAAGCAGCGAGATATTCGTTTTGCCGAAACATCATTTAATGAAATTAAAGGGCATAAAGGAATTAGTTTTACATCTCTTAAAAGCGTCCTGATATTCGGAAATCCAGCAGCTTTTACAATAATGGCTTTGTAAACGGAACGCTTTTGCCCGATAAAATAAATTCTCGCCCTCTTTTTTTTTTCGATCCACACTCGCTTTTTATTATCTCTTTTTTTTTAATTAAACAACGAATGCGTTTTTTATCGAACACCCGAACGCACGAAAACAATCGATTCTATCGTGCCATGGATTTTCGTGCTAACATACCTCTTTAAATCTCTCGAATCGCATTGTTATTCCTTTTTGTCTCTTCCCTCTTACTCTTGCCACCCTTTTATCCGAACGTTTACAAAACCCGGGAAAACTCCCGGAATATGTATCTCCATTTATAATGGGATCAAATCAGCATACATACTCGTTGTTTAAGACAATTTAAATAAAATGTCGTGTGCAAATTTTTTTCTATGACGAATCTATTGACTGGAGAGTGTTAGATGTATCATTGATTAGAAGTAGATTCATTATTCTCTGTAATCAACAATAATTCATTTTCTATTATAAATACTAACGAAAGATTTATCTAGTCATTTTCACAGAACTCTAACCTTTAAATTAATATAATTAATATAACTAATTAAACACTTTTATTTCATTAAATTTAATTAGACTCTCTAGGTTTCAAAATTGACAATTATAGACGTTGACATTTTTACAATGAGAGTATCTGAAATTATTATTAATAAAGAAAATTAAAATTCTAATACCGAAACTTATATTTTGGTAGACAGTGTATGAATTGATATGAATCGAACGAATCTCGGACGTTTCTTAGCAAAGGGTTACGAAACCCTAGGCGAATCAATACGTGTACACGTTTTACGTATTCCTGGACACTTAAGCGTACATGCACGTCGCACTTGAGCCGTCCACGGGTGTTAATACGTTTCCGTGCTGGTGAATCGTACGCACACGTGTCTGGAATACAAGGCTGTCGTTGGATGCGCTCGCGAGATCAAGATTGATAGGCTGCGAGTCGCAACACGCATGGAGCATCCACTTAGCGGGTGCATTATCTCGATGAGAGTGTGTACAGGCTGGCTTTCTCAACTAATGCAACGGCTGCAATCCTGATAATGGCAGCCACTTGTCCGCGAAGGAACAGCCGTGAACTTAACTTGCTCGCTAGTTTCAACCGCTCCGCGTCTGGAGACTTTTCTCTGTTTGAAGGATCAGAGAGTTTCGATGCGACTTCAATTTTCACCAAATGGAAGTCGTTCGAAAGACTCGCACGATTTTTCGGTAGAAAATCGAGGATTATAATCCTCGAATCCATTCGAGACTTATTGAAATAAAATATGTTGATGCAATATTAAAAATTTAAGAATCCATTTTGATATAATGGCTGACGCTGAAAAATTAAAGAATTATATTTTCAGGAGAGGATTAAATAATTTTCTGGATATTTATTTTTCATCGTGACAGTTTACGTTTTATCAGAAGTAGAAAGGGTTTGTGTTATGACAGGCAGACAGCAACGGGCACAATAGAAAGTGACTGCACTACGTTGAGCTAGAATCTTCGAATAAAATATAAAAAACGGTTTGTGGTGGATTAAATTTTAAAACGCAGTGGAACGAGGATACGACGTGTCAGACAGCAACTGCACGCAGTAGAATGTACCGTAATATATCAGACTGGAATCTTGAAGCGAAATGGAAAATATATGTGTTACATCGGACTAAAATTTTCTGATGTAATCGTAAAAAATGGTTACACTGTGTCAAATTTTCATTTCAAAATTAAGTAGAAAGGGTTCGTAATATATCAGACTTGAGTTTCAGAATTGAGTTAAAATTGTGGAAATTTAATAAAAAGAAATTGTGATGTGTTAAATTAGAATTTATAGATACAGTAGATAGTGTCTCTGTTATATCAGACGACGGTCTTGGAATTTAAGTAAAAAAATCTATATTTAGTCAGACATAGCATCCCGAATTCATGTAGAATAGTTCTTCATTGAGGTTACCAGCAATTTTCAAGGGCACTGTATCGTGCTGCAGCTAATTTAAATCACAAATAGCTTCCTGTAACTATGAATAACAATGCCTCTTTAATTATTGAAGGGCAGTATAAATTAACTGAAATTAATTATTAACCCTTTCACTACCGCAGTATGATATTATAATTGATTTTACAATAGAATCCTTTAATTTGCTATTTTCAATTACTGATGAAATCTAATAGTATCAATTTTGTCTAAACTTAGCGCAATTATAAGAGGTTCGAAAAGTAAAATTTTTATAAAATCATATTCGATATTTTTAAGAAATATTGAAACTTTCTTTTTTTCAAAAACGCTGTAAAATCCTGTTTATCAGTTTTATCGTTTGCTAAGAAATATCGTGTCGCGACATTGTTCGAGTCGCGGTAGTCGTCGAAACGGAAGGGGTAAAATAAAAAAAAAGGAAACATAGATTGTCGAAGGAGGGCAAACCAGTAAAGTGTGTACCTAGCTCGAGAAAATTTCGTATGACGCGGCGAGGGCAAACAAATCAGCAACGACCCGCTGCAAATAAACAGAACGGAGAAAGTTAGCGTTGGAAACACGGCTCGGTTACGGGGCACGCGCGTTTTTCAACTGAAACTCAAATAGTTTTGAGCGGAATGCAAGCGTGAGAGAACGACCCGTTGCACGGTGTCGCTGCTTAGCGATTCTCTTTGCACACGAGAACTTCACGATCAAACGAGTCCCACGGCTCTTTTCCACCTCCGCCTCCTCCTTCCTAGTTTCGAGTGTAATTTGTCGAAATTACAGTTTGTCCTCTTCCTCGTGTTTGATTCCAAGGAAATCATCCAGCTCCTTCTTTTTTACTCTCTCTCTCCCCCTCACTCTTCTCGAAACTCTCTGCGATCAGGATGTTTAAGTAATCAGTTTGTACTTCGACGCGATGGTTGTTAGTGTAAGTTTGCTACGATTAGGTAACTTTATCCATAATATTGTTATTTTAAGATGTTTCAATATTAGGCGTACAAATTAATTCGGTGCTTGTATTTAACTCCACTCGTTTATTTTAAAAGTAAACTTATAATTTCTTGATTCAGTCTTAATAACTCTAAATAAGAAAAGGAGACTGTAGATTTTTTTAGTAAAAATATTTATTTCTTTCAATATCCATGATATTAATTTTTGCTTTTCAATTCGGTCTGTATCTCTTCCAATGTCTTCCCTTCCGTTTCCGGTACGTATCGATAAATTAAGAGCCATACGAAAGCAGTAATCGCAGTGAAGGCAAACATAGGCATGTATGTTCCATAGGACTCTTGCAAAACCTATAAATAAAGTAAACCGATTGATCAATTGATTGTCTGTAAATTTCATATAAGAATCGATGTTGCTGTTACAGTCTGCTTCCATTGATCAGCGAACTTTTCATTCCATAAAAATTAATAATTATTCATTATTTCAATCCTTAATTACAAATACTACAATTAAACTTGATACATCAATCCTCTTTTTTATATTCTATAGATTCATTAAAAATATTGTATGTTAATTATGAAAAAGAGATGATCAATCGAAACAGATTCTCCCGTTTCGCTCCGATAATAACAGAAAATTCAGGTCGTCTTGGGAAAATATTTTGTAAGCTCTTCATTGTTTCCGCGTTCCATTAATGCGTTACGAAAATGTTTTCACACTATTGACTTTACTCTCGAACATCTTGACCCATCTCGGTTCGGCTCGAAAGATTCGAACATCATTCTTTGCCGAGCTTTTGAATTTAACCGTGATTGCAATGAACTTAACGTTAATACACTTTGCAATTTATCATGGAAAATTCACGCTATAATATAACGCATTATTATTAAATTTATCAACTTTACACAAAGGATCGCTGAAGCGGCGAAAATGAAAATTTATTTAATTCGAATTTTCTGTATCTATAATGATTTTAAGAACAACTCTGGCGATTATTAATCGCAGCGAAACCTACCTGATAGAATTTCACGACGGTGGTTGTGGTAATGGCGTAATAGAGAGAACAGAATATCGCCGCGGGTACCTTTACATCTATGTGAAAGATTTCACCGATGTATGCGAGCGGAATAGGATTCAATGCGAGCCCGTATCCAAGCACATAAATCACCAAGAACACGGAGGGCACCCATCGCAGATTCGAGACGTCCTCTCCTCTCGACAGCAGCCCGAAGAAGATGCCCATTATCATCAGGGACAAGACGCAAATTGGCGCTGAGATCAGAAGCAACAACCTTTTGCCTGTAATCCTCACCAACGCTACGCACACCGTGCCGGCTAACACAATCGCGCATCCTGTTATCACTATACTGATATTGGTGGAAATATCAAAGCCAGCCTCTTCGAAAATAAACGATTGATA